CATCTGTTGGAGGCTTATGTGAGCCATGTGCAAGATGTTTTGCTACTGGTAGAGAGATTCCTGGTTGCACTGGATTTTATTTATGTAAAATCTTTATGTAAAAGTTCTTGAAATACCTAAGCTAAAACTTTAAAATGCTTTTTAAAAATATTTCTGTGAATTATTAACTAGAATCATAGAATGTTTGGGGTTGGAAGGGACCTTAAGGATCATCTAGATCCAACCCCCCTGCATGTGCAGGGACACCAGTAAGTTCATTAAGTGGGACAGTAACTTTTTATGCCATAGTTTTCAATCCTCTTGTTGAAACTCAAACTTGTTTAAGAAGAATATATTTTTTGTACCAAATCTTGGAAATAATTTCTGTGCGTATGTCAAGTTGCAGTGACTGTGTAATCTTCTTCAGGTCCTGCAGCTGACACTTCATGATGTCCACATCTCTGTTACTGCTCAGAGACTCTGGCTAGTGAACATTTTCAACTTATGTGCCTTCTGAAAGATTTTTTTTAACCTCACTAATTGTTTCAGAATACCTTTCTAGACTATTTTTGTCTTGGCTCAAGTTAAAATGAGTAATTATAAAAATCACATCCAATTTTCAGCAAATTTTAGTAAATACTGTTTTTTTTGCTGAGCAGATTGGTTGTTGAGGAAAGAGATTGTGTCTTCCAAGAGCTCCTGATTTGAAATTTAAAATAAATTGATGTATATCTGGTAAAGACAAAAAGACTTGATATATAGGAAACTACTTGAATTAAATGCTCATTTTGACATTTTGCCAGTCATGGGAATTTACACACGCTCTGGGCCGAGTTAAGATATTAAACCAAAAATACTCCAGTAAAATGAAACATGAGGAAAGTTGCAGCTTGACTTTTTAAGTTATCATACACATAATAGCAAACATGTGGTTTCTCTGTTCTTCACTTTTCCTTGTAGAACTTACTAGGATGTCTGAAAGCAAAGACGTTTTGATACAGCTCTGAGTTACTTGGCATTGTAGAATTCTCCTACTTTTTCCATTAGTCTCAAATTATCCTCTCCCTTGTAACCCAGCACTTCTGGGTGATATCCATAAGGGAGGAAAATTAGAGCTGAACGGATGGATTCTATTTCGTTTGTTACTGATTTCAGGCCAGATAATACCTTGCTAGAAAACTGTGGGGTCACACAGAATTACTTCTTGCTCGTTTCTGAGTAATTTAATTGACGTCACTTTGAGGGAAAAGGCTTCTTATATAAGAAGGGTTTTTATATTACTCTTTTAAATAATACCTTTTGGCTTCGTGTGTGCTGAACTGAGAAGTTACAGACTTTTCTAACATGTATATCTTTCCATTTTTTCCTGTAGCTTCTCATTACTGATTTTAGGTTGGTTTTTTTTTCTGAGCAAAACAACTGTGGTCATTTCTGGTTTCTTTATTTCCCCCCCCC